AAACGTGATTATTTTATCTTTTATTCCTCATGAAATGTATTTTATTCGTTCCTTGTTTGGTGTTCAACGCCTGTACTGCCTCTTTTCTTTATATCTATAAAAGCCCCGCTGAAGGAAGTAGCAGTAACTGCCTCTAAATGGAACCTGCACAACATATCTAAATAAGAAATAGCTCATTTTTAATTGCAACGCAATTATATATCTTAAAAAATATACAGGGTGAGATGAAAAAACAGCAACCAAGTTCAGACAGCTGTCATTTCTAAGCCACTCCTCCGACAGCTGTTAAAGTTATTCCAGTGACAGCTCATTGCATTGTTTACATGCGTACAAAAGCATTTCGGTGAGAATTTTCCAGAAAAAAGTTATTCGTGATGTTATTCAAGCGTGATCGTGTCAATTCTTTATATTTGGCTGGAGAACCACAGGTGGCATTAGAGCACTCCAGCATTTAAATGTGAAAAAATCTTTTGTGTCTCGTACCATCGCTCGTTACCGTGATACTGGTAATGTAGCCCGACGTCAAGGAAGTGGATGGAAGAAAACAGCAACATCAGCAGAAAACATGGTTCGAAAGCAAAGTAAAGAAGCGACTTGATCGAAACCCGCGTCGCAGTGGTCGAAAAATGGCTCGTGAGCTGAACATATCGCAATATTCCATTCGGCAAATATTAAAAAATGTGGTCGGGGTAAAGCCATTGAAATTCCAAAAAGTGCAAGAACTTTCACCGCAACAGAAAGAAAATAGACTCAAAAGAGCTAAAGAGTTTTTTCGCTTGACCGAAAGTGGTGAACAGTCGAATTTGGGTTTCTCCGATGAGAGAACATTTGTTGTCCAGCAGTTTGTATATAAACAAATTGATCGTGTTTACTTGCCACCAGAACTCAAGCGCCGGCCATGGTGATGGTGTGGGCCGCCATAACAGCCGATGGTCGTTCTTAGCTCGTCTTAATCGACCGTGGCATCCGAATAAATGCCGAATATTATCGCGAAAATATTCTGGAGGGTATATTAAAGCCTTGGGTACGCAAACATTTTGGCCGCAGACCTTGGACATTCCAACAGGACTCAACACCACCGCACGCAGCACGCGCCACCCAAGAATGGTTATAAAATGAGGTTCCTCGCTTCATTTCCAGCGCACAATGGCCACCAAAATCTTCGGATACCAATCCGTTGGACTACTGTGTCTAGAGAATTTTGGAAAGCAAGTCTGGCACTAAAAAATACCAAATTGTCGATCACCTCAAGCAAGTGCTTGGCCGAGAATGGGCCAAAATAACGCAGTGCAACATACGGGCAGCGTGCGACGCTTTTATTGGCCGTCTAAAGGTAATAGTTCGTGCAAAAGTGACTAATTCGAACAAATCTAAACTTATTCTAAGATTTGATGCTATTTCCGATATTTTTTGCTTCCATTCAATAAAATTAAAATTATGTTGTGTCGACTTTGTTGCAGTTTTTTATCTTACCCTGTATTTAATTCGTTCCTTGTTTAAAGTTCAAGGCCCGCTGAAGGAAGTAGAAGAAAAAAACCTCATTTTTTATTGCAACGCAATTTAAATGTATATCTTAAATAATATGTATCAGTTTTTACATTTAAAATATTATAATTTTTATCTTATTTCTTCTAATATTAAAAACTCTTCGTAAAATAATATTTCCTTAAACATTCAGCCATGACTTTTTTTCAAGTACATTGGCCCTCATCATTGGCGGTTAATCTTATTATCGCCATAAGAAGCTTCGATCAAAAAATGGGTCATTGACTGGCCTGCTTCCATTCACGATGAAAAACACACAACATTTTCGTATGGACGATTTTTTTAACAAACCCTCAAACACACACACACAAACTCTCTGTTTACAAAAAATTAATAAAAAAACATTGTTCAAGCAATATACTCATCATCATCATCGTCAATGTCCGCCGCGGCAACAGAATCTCAGGTAGCAGCAAAAATAAATAAATTTTGGTCATTCACCTGCCGTTTTGGCAATTGAAAATAAAATAAAAGCACAATTTACAGATTTGGCTCTTTTCGTTTTGCCGTGTGCGACGTTAAATGGAAATTAAATTTATTTTGGATACTCTCCTGCCATTCAATAGTCTAAATGGACGTTGTTCTGCTGCCGCCAAGCGTTGCCTGTATTTGGTGTTGTGGTGCTATAAATCATTAACCTTTTGCTGTTATCCATGGCTAGTCGATCGTTGTTGATATTCTAAAATTTCAATTATTTTGTTAACGTATGCGTTACTTCGTTGTTGTTTTTGGTAATAAGCTCAATAATAACTTAATTATTTTATCGTACTTCGTTTTTTGTGTTGTTGGCATTACCTTCAAATTAATACGTTTAAGCGTTTCACTGCTTTGTCTGTTACGCCAAGCTTTTGTATGTTTTTGTTGGCGGTATTGTTCTTTTTAATAAACCCTGTATGGGTATGGAAAAAAGTTCAAGGTCATTTGTTATATTTTTTTGGGTAGTTACATTTTTGTGGTGGTCGTTTTTGAGACGTTTCATAATATTTATTTGTGTATTTTACTAGAAAATTACTTGCAGGGTGTAGTGAATGGATATTAATGGAATTATTGCTATCCGACATACCTTTTTTAATGTGTCCAACATCATAGGAACTGTGTCGTTTCTTTTTGTCAGAAAACTGATTTCCGATAGTCCAGCGTTGGTGATTGGGTGTTGGGCTGAAAATAGGATATTTATTTTACACCATGTAATGAACATTTAATACACAAATATTGCTATTTTCTTATTAAATATCACCAACTTATTTTTTCCTTACTTTACAAAAGACCAAAAACTCTACTTTTGTGCTATCAAGGAGTATTATATCAAAGAGGGTATACAAGCGCCATAATTTTTTAATTTTATTGAATGAAAGCAAAAATCGTCGGAAATAGCTTCAAATGTTAGAATAAGTTTAGATTGGTTTGAATTGGTCACCTTTGACACGAATCATGGCCTTTAATCGTGAGTGAAACTTTCAAACTTTGCCCAAATGTTGCTCTGTGGTATTTTAGCCCATTCCTGGCGAAGGGCTTCTAAGTCTGCACATATCCTAAGAATGAAATTTTAACCTAATCTTTTGCACAACACATTCACCCAACCATTGGCGCGGCATTTGGTTTGATATCTTCACCAAACCTTTGGGATGTAATTTTTACAGGACTCGTATCAATGTGACCAAATATTTGGCGAGACAAATCATTTTTTCGGTATTTAAAGATGTCGTTTTTCATATTGTCTTCAAACTCATTTTACAAGACAAAGGAAACAAGCTGCTCGGATCCAAAAAATAAATTCCTTTTCTTTAATGCTAACACGCATTAGTTAGCATTCAATGAATTGGTTTAAATCTAAAAGAAAAGATTTGAAGTTTCATGACTTCATCAGAACCAAGGCAAACGATCTAAATACATTGAACCACTTTCTTTAAATTATGCTGGGCTAATAACATTGGCTTAACTCTATTTTAGTAAAAACTCTTCATTTTTTTTTAATTTTTTCCAGAGGTAGGTATTTTTACCCTAATCCCGGGAAACAAGAAAAAAAAATAGGTTCCCGGGATCAGGGTAAAAATAACTACCTCTGGGACATTTTTCGAAAACATCGAAGAGTTTTTACTAAACCAGAGTTCTTTCATAATATTTTTACTACTCCCAAAAACATAAAACTATAAAGATTGGCCAAAATGCATATTGTTGTTAAATGTTTCGATCAGGCAATAGATTGCCGAAGACATGACGAAAATACATAAGAAACGTTACAGAAAATATTCTGATATCACCAATAAATGGCTAAAACTCACAATAAAAACCATCGGAATATATAGATTCCAGACCATTTCCCTGTGGACCAGATTACAACATAATGATATGTTTTTCTATCAACGCCGTCTATTGGTTCAAACATCAATCTTTTTAATATTATATGTCTTTGCTGTTCCCCTTCTGGTAAAAATTACCAACATTTTAAAAATTAAATAACTCCGACAACTTCAAACTTTACCTCTCTATGTATGTCAATGTTCCAAAAGCGGGTCAAAGTAAAGTAAAAACTTTGCAAAAAACCTTTGCGCATAGAATTTGTTTTCCATTTATTCAAAATGTGTGGTCTGTTCCACAACTGTCTTATTAACTTTCACAGATTGTCGACATCTTCCTTTTCTTTTCACTTTGTTCTTTTATTAAATATATATTATCCATGTTCTTTATTTAAATAAATTAAACTAAATAACAGCACGAAATTTCACCATATTGGGGTGAATTATTGGTAACGGAACGATAACAAAGCGGAAATCGATTACAAACAGCTGTACCCACTTGTTGATAATTTCAACCCACAAAAATTGCGTGCTGATTTAGGAATATGCGCAATTTCAGAACTGCAAGAATTGCTCAATTCCAAGGCTGCAAGAATGAAAAACATTTTTCAATCAAAATGCAAGCAAGAGTGTGCACTTTTCATTAAACTGTAACACTCAATTTTAGCTCATTCAAAGGAGTGCTTTTTTGTAAAATGAAAGCAAGCAAATTACTCGATACCATGGTAGAAGAATACAGGTAGATGCAACAACGCTTGGGAACATTAATTAATCAAAATTTATTTTTTTCAAAAGTAAATAGATTTTTATAAGTTTTCTTAAGCGACGCCAATCGGAGGTTGTTATTGTATGCATTTTCAAGAATTTGAATATTTTTTCATTCAAAGTTGGTTTGACAGTTCATTGTAACAGCAGCAGTGTCAATGAGACTACCTGTATTCTTCTACAATGTTTGATACTCCCTGGGTATGTTGTTTTTCGGGTAAAAATATACATGTTAAATGGTTCAATGTTCGTATACTGATTAGTCCTTCATTAATTTATAATCGGTAGTGAAATCAAAATGTTATCTGTTCCTCTACTTTCCACACTAATAAACCAACATCAAATATCTAATGGATCAGAATTCGAGTAAAAGGTAACTACAGTTGAATGTTCATGCACGTACATGAACAGAGCTTCTATTTTCAGCTATATTATCGATAGCAAACAAACTCATCGATACTGAGACAAAACACCTACCGATTATGCCATCGATAGTTCGTCATATCAATGACCGCCTCAAACGTTTCTGTTTGGTATGGCACAGCACCATTTGTTTGCCATTTTTGCCATTGCTTTTTTATAACTGTAAAATTGCTTCCAAGTTACATCAAGCAAAAAAGAAGAAACAATACATCTGGAAGAGCAAACATCGAGACGCAGACATGTCGTTGACAGAAAAACACAGCAATTCTCCGGCACCAACAACTGTAAGTGTAACAAATATCAATTATTCTGATCCTATTGTCCATGTCTTTTTTGCATTTAGGGTTCGGTCGATGATTTGCTGAGCAATGTAACCAGTTTTATTGACAGTGTCCTGAGTTCTTTGTCTCCTGAACTTCCTGTCAGGAATGACACAACATCATCCATATCGCCAACAACTCCTACGTCACCCACACCTTTTGCTCGAAGGAATGGACGGCAGACGCGTCGTAACATAGATGAGGATATTGAAAGAAGTAAGTTGGTAAAATACAATTTTCAGATATATTTCTAAATCACGATGTTTTTAATGTACCTTAAGTGATTTTAGTCATTGAGCTGTTCCTTGCACCGATTTTGTATTAGATTTCGTGTTTAGTAAAAAAGGGATGAAAGTGATTTATATCAAGAGGAAATGCCGATACACATTAAAATGGAGCCAGTGAACGTGTTGCAGAAGTGTTTCAATTGCAAGCCGATGTTTAGCTTTTTTGTTTCCTACGATCAAACTACTCATTTGGTACCCATTATATTGTATACTTGCATATATTTTATATAGCGACGTATAAAACCTGCTACTTCATATAGAAACAAAGAGAAGAAAGCATAAATTTATCGTCCTAGAAAAGGATGATAGATTACAGGATAGACCAATTTCGCCATATTTGATATCCACATGGGCCTGGTAACGGGGGTGGTGCGTATAACTAGAGCTTTAGTCAGATACTCATACATCAAGATACTATTTTCTTTATAATCTATACTGCAATACTATATACTGTCTAGATAGGTATCCTCCATGAAATTCAAAGCTGTTTGACATTTTAAATCAGCCGTGCCATATTTTTTTGCGAGTCGCGACATTGCAATAATATGGCTAAAAAGACATCAGTGGTCTCAACTCGCCAAGAATTCGAGATTTCTACCGAGAAAAAGCTACGAAGATTTTGGGCGAAGAATCTACTTGCATTGAATCCTCACTTTCCTTAAGAAAAAAATCGAGTTAAAAACTGCTGTAGGGGTGTTACTGGCCATCGATCGATGTGGCTTGAAACTGGCAAGAAGAAGATAATTATTGTTGTAGGTTGTGGAGATTGTGGAATATGTTTAAAAGCCTTAAGAGCCTGGACTGTTTTTTTTTTTTCTAATTATTTTGTCAGGATGAAGACAATGAACAGATAACGTCTCGACTATAATCCAACCATTTCTTTTCAACGTGATTATTTAAGGCTTTACTCTTCACATTATAAATTCATTATGAAATGAGAGGCCTCTGATCGTTGAAGCACACTTGTTTCGGATATCAGAACGCTCATTATATATTAAATAACCGGTCGCGGACAGCTCAGCGGTATCCAGGGAGGGGTTCTGGGACCAAGTGGCCGTAATCCTTGGTCTTGACGAGGCGAATTTATTAGCGACCTTAAAATGCCTGCAATAGGTATAAGTCTACCACCTCAAAAGACTGAGGTGTCGATTTGCAGATTCGCCTCTCCCCACATTCTTTGCAGAGACGCAAGTGGTTTCATCAATCTAAAGAGAGTATAAATTAATATATTTACCAGTCCCGTCTCAGAAAACGAATAGGTTTATTATCCCGATTAAAATGTACCTGAAAGGAAAAAAAAATCCGGCAGGTGGAAAGACAGAGTCAACTGTCACAATAACTGCGGAATCAAGCATTGTCCACGCGGAGATTATAACTCTGGCCAAAAAAGCAGAAGGCGCGAGACGAAGAAAACGGACTCGGAGATGATCACTGCATCGGCTGTTCCAGAGTAGCTTGTATCCTCTTCATCACGTGCAACAATAAAGAAGAGCAAGAAGAGTGAAACCAGACTGTAACCCCAACGAAATATATGATTTATTAGTTGCAACAAAATGCTCACAATATTGATCTATACGTGGTAATACTCCCACCACAATTTTTGATAATGAAGTTATAACCCTTAAATTAAATAGAATGTGTAAAATGAATAGAATTGGGTACCGTAGACTAATGGTATATACTGGGTGAGATGAAAAAACTGCAACGAAGTCAAACGCCAAAATTTTTACATTTTTTTAAATTTTATTGAAAGAAAGTCGGAAATAGTATTTGTTCGAATTGGTCATCTTTGGCACGAATTATGGCCTTCAAACGGCCAATGAAACCGTGACCGTGCTCGAATGTTGCTCTGCGGTTTTTTGGCCCATTCCCGGCGAAGCGCTTGCTGGGGTGATCAACACTTTGGGGTATTTTTTGGTGCCAACCTTGCTTTCCAAAATACTCCAGACACAATAGTCCAACGGATTGGTATCCATTGTACGCTGGAAATGAAGCGGGAAACCTCATTTTGTAACGATTCTTGGTTGGCGCTTGCTGAGTGCAATGGTTCTGAGTCCCGTTGGAATGGCCAAGGTCTGCGGCCAAAATGTTTGCGTGCCCAAGGCTTTAATACATTCTCCAGAATATTTTCGCGATAATATTCGTCATTTATTCTGATGTCACGGTCGATTAATACGAGCGGAGAGTGACCATCGGTTGTTATGGCGGTGCACACCATCACCATGCCCAGCGCTTGAGTTTTTTGGCCAACCGAAGGTGCACATTTTCAGCTGACCTCTTTGGCAAGTAAACACGATCATTTTGGTTGTTTACAAACTACTTGACAACGAATGTTTTCTCATCGGAGAAAACCAAATTCGGGAGTTCACCACTTTCGGCCAAGCGAAGCAACTCTTTAGCTTTTTTGAGTCTATTTTCTTTCTTCAATGGCCTTACCCCGAGCTCATTTTTTATTATTTGCCGAATGGAATATTGCGATATGTTCAGCTCACGAGCCATTTTTTGGCCACTGCGACGCGGGTTTCGATCAAGTCGCTTCTTTACTTTTCGAACCATTTCTGGTGATGTTGGTGTTTTCTTTCGTCCACTTCCTTGATGTCGGGCTACGCTACCAGTATCACGGTAACGAGCGATGGCACGAGACACAAACGAGTGCTCTAGCGATGCACAAATAACTTTTTTATGGAAAATTCTCACCAAAATGTTTTGTACGCTTGTAAACAATATAATGAGCTGTCACTGGAATGATTTTATCAGCTGTCGGACGAGTGGCTTAGAGATGACAGCAGTCTGAAGTTGGTTGAACTCTCACCCTGTACTTATTCTATTTATTACAAAAAATAATTAAAAGCGTTTTATTATTAATAGTATTTTTCTCTCTTCTTACAGTTAATAGAATATGTGATACCGTTGATCGGGATTTGCGTTCGGTAAACATTTTCATTAATCCAGAAACAGATACTCGTCAACGTAACACAGTCAGAGGTAAGACTTTAAATACAATTTATATTTTGCGCATATTTTTTCCCCTTTTCCAATACAAATATTTAATTTTTGTTTACTTTGAGTTTGAAGGTAATAGTAACTGGCTTTATATTAATAGAAAGATTCTAAAGCATTTGCAATAAAATGTTTAATTTCATTTACATTGTTGTGCTTCAACCCTAAAGAACTCCATCTATTACAAATTTTTCTCCGTCCATCAAATTCCATCAGTTGAACCAAACCTGCAGATTGAAAAGCTACATGTGATTTGATTAATTGCATTTTTTTTAAATATTTTGAAAATGATATATAACCTCTTTAGTCATATGGCTGAAGGTATTACAATTTCGATAATAATACCAGTAAGATTAGAAATCACTCATAATTTTTTGGTGGGAATAATACAAAATTATATGCAATGGTGGCTATTTAGTAGTCAATTGATGGAACGTGTTATCTAATAAAATAGTTATATTGTACTAATTGAAAACATCTTATTTGTTTCCTTTCATAGCCATTTCCAATTCAAGCACAACTACAGATAATAATGAAGCTTCTCGAGGTGGATTGAATCCTAGACGTCGCCGATGTTCCAACCGTAGATCCGCAACACCGACAGATTTAAATGAGGCACTCATTGACACCACCTATGACGATCCGCCACCATCTGTTATACCAATTGATGATGAACCCGTTAGTAATCACCAGTTTTCTACACCTACCTCCACCGGCACCAGGACTGAGGAAATTGTGCTAGCCGACGATGATGACGAAGTGGTTGTTGTATCATCAAATTTACCAACCGTTATAGATTTATGTACACCCAACAATGATGTGCCAATTGTTCGAAATACAACTATAAATCGAAATGAATTGACACGTAGAAATTTAGAACGCCATCATGCGTTAGAAGATGTTAATGAAGTTTCGGTGCCACCAGTTCGCAGACGACGTGTCAGTAGTGGCCTATCGAAACAAAAGGATAAACAATCCCCAAATAAGGGCACAACACCTGACAACGAATCTGAATCCTCAAATCACACACCATTCATGTGTCCTGTTTGTATGGAATCGTGTTTGAAACGCCGTCCTACCTCTACAAAATGTGGTCATGTCTTTTGTGAAGAATGTATTAAAATGTCCATACGTCTGACCCACAAATGTCCCATGTGTAAAACCAGAATCAATTGTTCACAACTTATACGAATATATGTGTGATTTTTTTTAAAGAAAGACTTAAGTATTTGTTAAATTGCATTGTGATAGGCATAGTTTTTTTATACCTTATTATTATTAATACATACGGAATATTCAATTTTTTGTTAAGTAAATTATTTTGTTGCTGATGTTTCCAAATCCTTTTCAACAAATTTAAATAGGTTTGGCACATTTCCTCCTCATCCTTTTGATTTATAAGTAATTACCATTTTATTGTTTGAATCCTTTTCTGTTTTCGTCTTAGTTTATACTAATAAATATTTCATCTGAACAAAAACAAAGTGGTGATTTTTATTATAAATTGTTGAAGGAGAAATGTATTCTCAATGAAGATCCTAATTCGTAGTTCTCAAGAATGCAAAACAAGAAATTACCAACTACTTAATCAAAAAGTATTATTTTAATCGAGAAGTACTATTTTTCTTTTCAAACATAGTTGCAAGGGACACTCTTCATATGTGTAGTTTGATTCAATATAACTTTTGGCCATTTTTAAAATTTGTTTTTACAAAATTCGCTTTGCCGTAAAAAATCCCTCATGTCTTTTCACATTCTGTATCCAAAACCACTGCCGCCGCGGGACAATCAATCACTGCCAAATGAAAATGGTTTTACTGCCACAGAAATTGCATCCTTGCGCAATGGATGGCGTCATTTTAAACGTCGCTTTGGCTATCATTCTAAACAAATATTCATGAAGTATGTTTTAATTGTCAGGAAATTTTCTTTAAAAATTAATGTTTCATATATTTGCATAGATTTTATCAAGAACATGAACAAATGTTGGAGAAATTTCGCAATCGAATGGGCAAATTCAATATGCAACAGCTGCATCGACATCCACAAGAACTATTGCAAGTCTATGGTAATCTGATAGAACAAGGACTGGATAATATGACTTATATGCATGTTTTAATGACCGCAATAAGTCAACGGCATAGAATGTTCGGTGTTACAGGTTATGAAATAAAGGTAAGTCAATTTTTTCATATACCTTGCTGCATTGTGTGGAGTGTTGTCAATTTATTAATGTCTTCCACTGCAGCTACAAACCGACCACATAACTCTCTACATACTTGCCTTATTGGAGAAAATAATTTCGCCCACATTTGTTTCGGGACTGGAAAAACTAAGACGCTTGATAAACGCATATCATTGTGAAGATGCATGCGACGAGCTGTTGGAAGAGAGCTCAAATGAGGCATTACATAATTAAGAAAATAAAACTGTAATTAAGAGTAAAAGGTAATTTAACTTAATTTTTTTCTACAGTGCGCAGAGTTAGAGTTTTCTCAAAATGTTCTAAACTCAGAAGAAGAGAAGAAATATTAAAGCCGTAGTAGAATTTTCGAGATGTGTCTACATAATAGTTTGGCGGAAAGCTTTATTCGATTAGTTAAAGATAGACATAATGACTTGAGTATACCATGAGGTTTCTGATGTTAGCTACAATAACAATGCCGATAGGTTAGTACCCTGAGCCTATTACATATGGGGCCAAAAGTTTTGATTTCTTATTTCCAATATTAAAAAATCAAGGCTAATGCATCAATACACTACCAAATGATAGCACTTCTTCAATTCTAGACTTCGAAAGTTCATTTAAATTCGTACCAAATTGAAGACTTATATGTATTATACGAGATTCAGGATTTTTAAAATTCAAAGATGTAAATGTTTATAAGTGCGGTTGTAAGATTTATTTTTATTTATTTATTTTATTTATTTTCAATTTGTATACATGACTACTCTAAATTAATTATAATATCCTTAATTCTAAAAGAATTACTTAAAATTAAACACTAAAACAAATTAACAAAAAATGAATAAAATTAACAATTGATTGATGGTTCCAAGAACTCCTATACATGACTACTCAAAATTTAAAAGATTTTCCAAAATAATTTTAGTTTTATTTAATTCTTTGGGTCCTATTCTATTGAGCTTATGATCTCGTCACTTGGGCAAAAAATGTTTTTTGTCATAGAAGTTATTTTTAAAGTAACTTCTGGGAAGAATATCCCAGACAAAAACAAGGGAACTGTGAGGATTGGCAGCTCTTTCCGCCTTTCCTGCCTTACCCCCGTAAACATTGCCATCGTTCTCCACTAATAAGCAAACGTTGTTTTTTTTTTATAAAAACAACAATAAAGAGATTAAGCCTGACCATTTTGCAACAACAAAATTGTAGTGAGTGTAGAAACGGAAACGCTCCTGTGTTTCCTATTGGGACACCTGACCTAAATTGTATTCAAATCGGCTCAGTTGGCTCTCTTTTTTTCTATTCTTTTGTTGGGAAACGCAGTAGATGATATGATATACAGGGTGAGATGAAACAACTTCAACCAACTTCAGACTGCTGTCATTTCTTAGCCACTCGTCCGACAGGTCTTAAAATTATTCCAGTGACAACTCATTATGTTGTTTGGAAATCAAGCGTGATTGTGTGATTTCTTTATGTTTGGCTGGAAAACCACAAGTCGCTTTCGTTAGAGCACTCCAGCATTTATCATCGCTCGTTACCGTGATACTGGTAGCATGGCCCAACGAGGAAGTGAAAACAGCAACATCAGCAGAAATTGTTCGAAAAGTAAAGAAGCGACTTGATTGAAACCCGCGTCGTAGTGGCTGAATAATGGCTCGTGAGCTGAACATATCGCAATATTCTATTCGGCAAATATTGAGTAATGAGCTCGGGGTAAAGCCATTGAAATTCCAAAAAGTGCAAGAACTTACACCGCAACGGAGAGAAAATAGACTCAAAAAAGCTAAAGAAAATCTCCGGATACCAATCAGTTGGACTATTGTGTTTAGAGTATTTTGGAAAGCAAGATTGGCTCTAAAAAAAACTAAAGTGTCGATCACCTCAAGCAAGCGCTTCACCGGAAAGGGACCAAAATACCTCAGAGCAATATTCGGGCAGCTTGTGACCGTTTGAAGGCCATAATTCGTGCCAAAGTTGATAAATTCGAACAAATCTAAACATATTCTAAAAGTTGATGCTATTTCCGACATTATTTGTTTTCATTCAATAAAATTAAAAAAAAATGTAAAAATTATGGCGTTTGACTATGTTGCAGTTTTTTAATCTCACCCTGTATAGGCAATGTATCCTTAAAGATCTCAGGTCATGAACTATTAATTAAATATTTATTCTGAACTGTTATTAAAAATTATTCCAAACTAATGAAATTATTATTATGCTCATCCACCACAAACCTTCTACGACAAGTTGGTAGTGTGCGAGTAAGCGGCCAATTAAGCCTGTGAGAGGGAGAGCCAATAGATCGCCTCATGTACTCATCATCAATTGCAATTGGAGAAATTCGTCGTCCAAGACAATTCAGAATAGTACGGACCCATCTACGTTCAGGATTGGGCAGTCGTCTTAATACGCCCTTGCATTGGCTTTGTGAGCAGAACAAACGCGTCAAAATAAGCTGTTTCAACAAAAACCACAAACTTTCCTGAGCCACTCAATTTTAATGTCTTTAAAATTGCTGGGATTTCCGCTTGGAAGACGCCATATTCCAGATTCAACAAATATGAGTGCTAGCCATTCATCTCCCTACAAATATAACCGGGATTCAATTCCATCATCCCTATTTGATCCATCTGTGTTAAATTTTGTGGAAACAGTTTCCATAGGAAACCTTCTATATCGGATGCAGATCTTAGTCGTTCTGAAGTTGAGCATTGGTGAGAAGTAGTCACTGTTCACCAGAGTGGTCTGACAACCTTTCTTTGTGAATGATCAGACAGAGTCCTTTCTTGAATGCAACCAAAGCAATGATTATGTTCTAATAGCAACCCAACTGTTGCACAGAATGTTTTGTGGTTTTGGGATTGGGCCATTCCATTGTGGGAACGAGTAATGTTTACTATCACTACCCCTTCCCCCCAACCTCTGCATTTTTTTTTGTAAATAAATGACGACATTCGTTCTTTGTTCTTTATATGTCTCACGAACACGAACCCATCTGGAATTTGGCATGCTAACATGATGACCGGTTGGTTATCTTCAAAATTGCTAAGTGTGATTATATTTTAACTTGATTTCGTTTTTCCTAATAGAGTGCGCTAATCTTTGAGATGTCTAAAATATTTTTTAATATATGGATACTTAAGGTACGAATAACGTCTCCCCATACACACAGCGTTCACGTGAAAATTAAGAAATTTTCTTAACATTTCTCAATATTTTAAGAGGGCCACCCTTAAAAAAGCTTTGTGTCATGAAATTTATGGTCTCGTTCCTAAGCAATAAAAACGATAAGCTATAATTTCATTAACGATTGCTGTTAGCTTATCAGTAAAGCAGGCTTCTCGGGGGAAATCTATGTTAAACAATTAAGATTAAGCTACCACATATTACATAGATTTCCGAATATTAATCGATTTGGTTTTGGTTTTATCGCTGATATGCTAACGATAGTAGGCCATTAAAAATAAATGTGTCAGTCTGGCCGGAGTGAAAATCTTAATTGAGTGAAAAATATTTTAGATATGTTTTAGAAGACCAGATGGCCGTATAAATGACCATATACGGCCATCTGGTATGCTAAGTTTTTGCATAACTCAACTACAGGGTGAGATGAAAAAAACTGCAACCAACTTCAGACTGTTGTCATTTCTAAGCCACTCGTCCGACAGCTGTTGAAATTGTTTCTGTGATTGCTCATTATATTGCTTACAAGCGTACAAAAGCATTTTGGTGAGAATTTTCCAAAAAAAGGTTATTCGTAATGGAGACCAAGCGTGATAGTGTGATTTCTTTATATTTGGCTAGAAAACGACAAGTGGCTATCGTTAGAGCACTCCAGCATTTAAATGCGAATAAATCGTTTGTGTCTCGTACCATCGCTCGTTACCGTGATACTGGCAGAGTAGCCCAACGTCAATGGTTCGAAAAGTAAAAAAGGCAACTTTATCTAAACCCGCGTCGCAATGGCCGAAAAATGGCTCGTGAGCAGAACATATCGCAATATTCCATTCGGCAAATATTGAAAAATGAGCTCAGGGTAAACCATTGAAATTCCAAAAAGTACAAGAATTTATACCGTAACAGAAAGAAAATAGACTCAAAAGAGGTAAAGAGTTTCTCCACTAGGCCGAAAGAGGTGAACTGCCGAATTTGGTTTTCTCCGATCAGAAAACATTCGTTGTCCAGCAGTTTGTAAACAAACAAAATAATCGTGTTTACTTGTCAAAGAGGTCAGCTAAGAATGTGCACCTTCGGTTGGCCACCAGAACTCAAGCGGCGATGGTGATGGTGTGGGCCGCCATAACAGCCGATGGTCGCTCTCGGCTTATATTAATGCCAAATATTATCGCGAAAATATTCTGAAGGGTGTATTAAAGCCTTGGGTAAGCAAACATTTTGGCCGCAGACCTTGGACAACAGGACTCAGCACCATCGCACTCAGCACGCGCCACCCAAGAATGATTACAAAATGAGGTTCCTCGCTTCATTTCCAGCACACAATGGCCACCAAAATCTCCGGATACCAATCCGTTGGACGATTGTGTCTGCAGTATTTTGGAAAGGAAGGGTGGCACTAAAAAATACCAAAGTGTTGATCACCTCAAGCAAGCGCTTCACCGGGAATGGGCCAAAATACCGCAGAGCAACATTTGGATCAGCGTGTGACGGTTTCATTGGCCGTTTGAAGGCCATAATTCGTGCCAAAGGCGACCAATTCGAACAAATCTAAACTTATTCTAAAATTAGATTCTATTTCCGACATTTTTTGCCTTCAATCAATAAAATTTAAAAAAAAAATGTTAAAATTATGGCGTTTGACTTTGTTGCTGTTTTTTATCTCACCCTGTATATTAAAATAAACTTTTACGGGTCTCATGTAAATAGAAGGGATATTAAAAATTCAAAGTACCTTTCAGAACTAATTCAGTGACCTGTTGCTGTAAAGAACTGTTCAAGCTACATATCTCTTTTTGATAATCGCCACGTATCTACTTGACTGCAACTGCTAACTCAGTCAGTCAGCCAGCCAGCCAGTTAGTTTTGTTGTTGCCAATGACATTACCATACGGTGGGGATACTGCTACTAAATCCAACTTTCAAGTATAATTGTGTGCGTAGCGTGGCTCTGGTGTGTGAGCTACTATGGTGCCTGGTCGTTTAGCCTGTATTGGTCGCATGCTCGTGTTAGCCGTTGTTTCATATCTTCTCACTTTATCCCAAATGGATGGAAGCAAGTAACTGCTGTTGACTTTAGCCGGCA